TCAAAATATAAAACACAAAATGAATTCAAAACTCAAAACACAAAATTGAAACACAAAGAGAACGGCCTCTGAATTTTTTATTTTTGCGATTTGAAAAATACCAGCAAAATCATCAATTGGAGTATTCTAACTAAAGAACTATGAAGAAATGATTTGTGTGAAATCCATACAAAAGAATACGAAAAGAAAAAGAAAAATATAATTTGAATTGATGGCACTTCAATGGCTTGCAGACGCTAAGATGAGCTGCACGTGGGGTCGGGCACGAGCCAGCTCGCATAGAAAAATTTGGACTTGTCATGCGGTCGCCTTAAAGGTGGGCGTAAGCTAAAATAATGAGTCGATAAGTGGCTCGTGCCATTGCCTACTCTAGTTGGCCCTAGGTCGAAACGGGTAAGAAGGGCCTATATCATTTTTACCCACTTTTAAAAATTAAAGAAACAAAAATGAAATAAAATAATAAAACATTAATAACAGAAAAAAAAGTGAAAATATCGTACACACAGAAAAGCGACACGCACACAGTGAGATGAGTGTAAAATATAAGTACAGACAAAAGAATGCAAATAGAAAACACGTTTTCTTCCTCTGTTAAATCGCTACGATTTTATTATATAATTGGTTGAGAGTTGAGACTTTCTGTTTAAAAGCGTTTTTGTAATCATTTTCGTTAGAAAATATACACACATACGTTACTGGGGTTTGTTTGTTAGCTCCCTCTGCAGAGTGCCCACCTCTACCCACCCCACCCCATCTATGAAATTCACTCGCAGAATCTCACTTCCGTAAGCCATTGATGGCTTGTAAAGACTGATATCTATCTATATATATATATACATATATTTTGTGTGAATGTTTATATATAGTTGTATTGTATTCTATTGTGTATAGAGTGTGTGTATAGGTGTAAAAGAATGGAGAGGTACAGCGGGACTGAGGCAATGGAGGGGGCACCAGTGGATCCGATGGTGGAATGGGCCGCTCCCGGCAATGGAACCGGACTTGAAGGTCAGCGTAGGTTTTTTTCATTTTAATTTCAGTTGAATTTCGTCTGAATTGAATTCGATTTTTTTTAATGCAGAGGAAAATTTTATTGATTTAAGGTTTGATTTTGTCAATGCAGTGCGTATGTGGGAGTTGGGCCTCGGAGGTGGGCCCGAATCGTACCCGGAGAGGCCCGGCGAGCCTGATTGCGGATATTACTTGAAGACTGGATTCTGTGGGTACGGTGCTCGGTGTCGTTTCAATCATCCCCGTGATCGGAGTGCGGTAAAAATTTTCAATTTTATGTGTCAAATTTTGATCTTGAGTTTGACTTTTTGTTTCAGGATTGGTGTGATCGAGCACTCAAAAGTGTTGGGTTTTGCTAATTACTGTGAATTTATTCCAGTTTTTGGTGGGGTTTTGTGTAGATTTGGATCTATTTTGTGTAAAAAATAATCTTTTTGAGTTTTATTGGAGTTCATAATGGTTTTTGCAAGAAAAGGAATACAATAAGTTGCGGAATTTTTTTTCCTTGTGATGGTTTTGATTTAGTAACATGGACGGATTGAATTCAGTCGTGTTATGATAACAGGTGATGGGACCATTGATGGCCTACGATGGTGATTACCCCGAACGTGTTGGTCAACCAGTCTGCCAGGTATGCATTTACTTGAAATTAATTTTGCAAACAAAGATATACGTGTATGTGTTTGTTGCGTGAAAAAGATATTTGGTGCCAGGTATTCATTTGCATGCAATTTTGTCTTAGACAAAAATATACGTGTATGGGTTAGATAGTAAAAAAGATGTTCTCTGCCATGTATCCTTTGCATTCAAACTTCTTAAAGATGTTGAATAAATTAATAATAGGGATATAAAGAAAAAATATAAAGGTTCGTTATTACTTTCTGAAGCTGAAGTATTTATTAATTAATTTATATTATGGAAATTCCATTTGCTAGATTTTACTGTGTAATGATTAATCCATCTGTGCTTTGTTTAATTTTGGGAAAGTCCATTTGTTAGATTATTCCACTCAAGCAATTCGTCTGCATACTGTTTTGTAGACTGAAATTCTCTTTGTTGATCCATGGATTCAAATAATTCGTTTGTGTACTATCTGAAATCTCCATTTGTTCCCTATGGATTCCTAGTTTGATGTTTATGAAAATACCTTGTTTAGAACTGATTATGCCATTTATTAAAGGGTTTTGTTACATATACATCAGGGTTTACACTCTGGTGTACTTGCCCAAGTGACATTTCATCATTGGCTAATGGAAAAAGCTGATGTAGAATACCTTATTAAACGCCTCCATATGAATTGGTCAACTGCATCTGATCTAAGAATTTGGGATATCTGATGTTAGAAGTTAGAAACATCTACTAGATTCTGCTGTGAAAAATTTCATGCCTGTTTTTTAGTTCCAAAACAATCATCTTCTATATAGTTGATGAACGCTTTGCCCCTTTAACAGTTTATCACTATATTGAAATGGTTAAAGTATTGTTCAGGATTTGCAGCCTCTTGTATTAATAGCATCTCCATGCAGATTATGTTTATCAATTTATCCTTTTCATCATGTATAGCTGCTACTTTTTTAACGCCGTCAGTTAGTTTCCAATTTTGCAATATTCTACAACTTCTGGGTCTTAAAAGATGTGTAGTTCCCTCTTTCTATGTTGTGATTTTTCTGTATGCTGCCATCCTAGATGGAAGACACCACCTGTGATGATGATATCGTCTTTACCTATCTCTGGATCCATAGATTAGGGCATCTTAAATTGGTTTCATTTTAATTTGTCCTTAGGCACTTACTGTATCCATACAGACTTTAAAGCATCTATACTTCACGGATTAATTGTGACTCACCTTTTTTTTCCCAAGCTGATTGATCTCAGAACTTCAAAGGTTTGTATAGCGCTTTATAATTAAGAATGCATGTAGGATTTGTCAGCTTGTGTCTCTTATGAAAGAGTGAGTTTCTTATATGTTGATTAAGGAATCATCTTTTCTTTATTGTGGATATACACTCTATAAAAGCAGGTTCATACACTCGTATCTTTTTCAGATTGACTTTTAGGAACAATTATAATGTTCGTATAATATGGATATGTCTGCTCAATGTTGTACATCATGCTTAACTATCTTTTTATATTCAGAAGTTGTATTTTGTTTTTTTCAGTAACATTTGATAGTCATTATAGGTGCTTGACAGATTTTGACACTTATTACTCATCCTTTTTTAATGTTCCATTCTAGAGCGAGCTTTCAAATTCTTAATACCTCTATTAAGAAACAGAATTTGAAATAAACTGGAGTTAATCTCAATCTTAACAATGCTAGAAGTTTATGCTATTCATTCTGAGCAAATGCTTCCGTGTTCTGCATGAACTCCGAATGGTTGTCGAACGGTTGGAACTAAAAGCATTTACATGTTCCAAATGCGCTTTACTTTATTTATCTGTTCTTCCTTCATGTTGTAACTCCTATCAATGAGTGTAAAATGTCTGTCTTACTAAGAATTTCAGTATCTATTGTATCTTTATGCCTTTTTACATTAACTGTGCTCTTGGTGCTGAAATTGTAGTACTATATGCGGACGGGAATGTGTAAATATGGTGCTTTCTGCAAGTACCACCATCCAAGACAGGGAGGTGGACCTTCTGGCTCGGTGACCCTAAATTTTGATGGATATCCATTGCGACCGGTCTGCCACAATGATTTTTATTTTCATGTTCTTTTTTACAATTTATGGTTTCAATTGGATTAAGCTTTTATACTATGTACAGATGTTTCATAGATTTCTCATTGCAGGGTGAAAAGGATTGTTCATATTATGTTAAATATGGGCAGTGCAAGTTCGGCACTACCTGTAAATTTAATCACCCGCACCCATCTGGTTTACATATGCCAGTACCAGCTCGTGGGCCTGGATCATTGCCTACGCCAGCAACTGTACCTACACCGGTGGTCTATCCAACTCCCTCCGTGCATTCTTCCCAACAATATGGGATATTTCCTGGCAACTGGCCAGTTGCAAGACCGGCTGTCTTTCCACCTTCATATGTTTCTGGGGCTTATGGTCACATGCTTCTTCCCCCTGGAGTTGTTCCGGGTCCTGGTTGGACTCCCTACCCGGTAGGTGTAGCTGAATTTTTTTGTTTTATGTGGAGTTCTCCTAGAATGCCCTTCCGACAATAAGTTGTGGTACAGGCTTCAGTTAGTCCTGTGGTCTCCTCAGACCCTCAACCAACTGTTGGAGCGGGCCCAATTTATGGGATAACCCAGTTATCTCCTTCAGCAACTGCCTACACAGGAGTGACAGTACCATATTTATCCATTACTTCTGCTGGCCTTTCAGACGGCCCTCAGCAGGAACATGCATTTCCAGGAAGACCCGGCCAGCCAGAATGTCAGTATTATTTGAGAACTGGAGAGTGTAAGCATGGACCTACATGTAAATATCATCATCCACCAGAGTGGAATGCACCAACTACAAATTATGTGCTTAGTCCACTGGGTCTTCCCTTACGCCCGGTAAGCTTACCATTCTCTGTTCTTTTCACGACAGACGAGTTTCTGTGCCTGAAATAACTGTTCATGACAGATGAACTTGTTCTAGTTAAGGAGCGAATTTGTGGATTTTTGCCACATGTTACGGTTGAATTATTTTCAAGCTGTAATTACTGCATATCATGGTATAATTGGATGAAATTAGATTGCTCATTTTGATGTGTCTTAAACAATTATATCGAGAAATAATTAAGAGTACCCGACTTCACATTTCTTTACTTGGTTGAATTATAGACCTTCTCAGTTAACTTTAGTAGATTTTGATGGCATATAATTTTATGGTGTCTTCTCTTTTCTTTCTTTTCATATCTTTTGACTACTTTATTTGTTCTTTTCTTTTGTGAGTTGGGGGGTGCGGTTGGAATTGTGCCAGTACCCGGGAATCAAATTCTGTTCAAAACTTCTTGTAGATTGGAAAACATAATTTAAGCATGGAAGGATACCTTAGCAAAAAAGTTCATTAGATTCTGCCAGAGGGATGGCATTCCTTCTTCTCATCTCTATCTCATGCTGGGAACACTACCTTCCTTTTACCTCTAGTTACTTACATTTTTTACCATCTACGACATTGACAATATATATAAGGATGTACGTGGAGGTGCCCTCTTGTGTGCTGGACTCAATGATGAATGGCTTTTAGTATATCTTATCTTGCTCTTTGAAATTGGAGCATAACATGCCTTCCTTGCAGTATTTCATGATGTGTGCATGAGGAGTAAATAGAATGTATTATATTAGATTGATTTACTCCCTATGTTCTTATAATGCTGGAATGCAGTTAAAATATTTCTGGTTTCCGAAATATTATTATCTTGAATCTATACTCATGTGCTTATGATTTGTGTCAATCCTCTTTGCTACGCAGTTCAGCTCACCACCAAATCTACCAAATGGCCATATAATGTGTCTTTGGCCATAGACACCTTAAAAGTATTTGTTTGCAATAATTGATGGACAATTCTCAATTATTTTATGAAGCTTATCTTTATGTTGTTTACACTAATATGCCTTGGCTTTTCATTGTTCCTATGTACTTGTATTTTGTTGTGGCACATAGAAACTTACCATCTCATGATTTGAATTCGTCTTAATTATCCCATTGTGGTTTGGAAATTTTCTGGTAACCGTCTTGTTGTCTACAAAACCCAGAGTCAATTACCTTATTTCTCTATTAACATTTCCTAATGGTTTTAATTTTGTTTTTGTAAAATGATAGCATATCTTTAATATGAAAATGGCACCACGACATTGTAAGACGGCAGCAGTCATTCCAAGTTGAAAATATTGACAAATTAGTTTAAGTTAAATGGAAGAATGCGTTGGGTGTGTTGGTTAATCAGTAGTGTTTTGAAAACCACAAAAGGGTTATTTGGTTTTTTCCAATTGGCGTGGAGGTACTACATGAATTTCAATTTGCATTTCCCTGTTTTATTTGCTTGCCATTTCTTTTCAATTTTTATTCTTTATATACTATTACTATTATGTGTAAATGTTATCATTATATGATAGCATTTTTTATTGTGTTCTTGGATTATATTATCGAATACCTTTCTCAGGTGTCTTTTAATTATTTTTCAGGGTGCACCAGTTTGTATTAACTATTCACAGAACGCAGTATGCCAGTTTGGACCTTTGTGCAGATTCGATCACCCTATGAAGACTCTGAGTAGCAGTCCATCAGCATCTTCTCTTACTGATATGCCTGTTGCTCCATATCCTGTGGGATCTAATAATGCAACTTTGGCTCCATCATCTTCGTCGTCAGATTTGAGGCCCTACCTTATTGCTGGGTTCGGAAGAGACTCCACATCTCCCCAAATGTCATCTATAAGCAGTACAGGTGCTTCAGCCAGTTCAATTTATTCACCAAGTGAGCCCATTTCTCGTTCTAGCTTTCAGCAGTCGGGACAAGGTCCTGGAGGTGAGGTTCGTACTTCAAATTGAACAACTAAACGCAAGAAGCCATTTCATGATCCTCGTACATCAATTTTCGAACCCAAGTTCAAGCCTCTCTACCTATGTCCTCCTGCGTTCATAAGTTCATCTTTTGTCCGTCATTTTCTTTTTCAATAAGCCATTAATATCCCCTCAAAGATCCGAGAACACCTTAATCTCCCTGCTAGCTAGTTTTCAAATAAAAAACCAAAACCTCTCGTTTAAACAATAATTTGCACCATTGCCCAAATTTTAGAGGTGCTTGCGTCTATTTATGTTCTCATCTTTCTCAGAAGGAAAACTATATATCATACACCATTCTCCTGTCTTCAAGCCTATCTTTGTAGTTACTCTTCAAATTTGGGACCAACCTCGACTAGGTAACGAGTCTCAAGGTGTTCTTGTTCCCCATTTTTGTCCGGGGCTTTGTTGTGGGGACAAACAATAAATTTNTCCCCATTTTTGTCCGGGGCTTTGTTGTGGGGACAAACAATAAATTTAGAGAATAAAGAAGGCGATTAATTACCACCTAGATTGTAAAATATACAGTAATGTTGTGGGATATGATTTTTGCTTGAATGCTGCTTTAATAATTTATCATCAGTACATCGAATTCAGAGAAAATCTTGAATTTGTTTAGTATTCATGCTCTTCCGGTGGTTGTGTTACATGTACATAATGATTTACATACACCTGATATGGTGAGAGATGATTACATCAAAATTTCGTCAACTAAATTAAAAAAAAAATGTTCTCCACTCTCGTTTTTGACACTTTATCTGTATGCAAATTATTATGTAACTTCATTATGTACAACTAACACTATAAAACCAGTTATTTCATATGTAGAGATGCTTATAATGATCTAATTTTATTGTTTTCATATTTTCATAAAGTTTCAACTTCAGGGGTTGATCAATTAGTCAGACTTTGAGTTTGTTCCACAATGGTCACCGACTCACCGGTTCGAGTCCACTCATGATCACTAAGGTAAGTACCCACCCGTAAATTTTAGGGTCCAGTGGGATTAGTCAAGGTGTGTGCAAGTGGACTCGGACATTCATGGTAATCTAAAAAAAAATATTTTCATATAGTTTCTGAAGTCAAAATTATCAACTTCATAGGGACAATGCTGGAAATTATGTCTTTTGACAAGTACAGATTTCTGAAGATTGGATGATCAACTGTTTAGATAATTATTTGAAAAGGGCCTTAATTAGTATGGCCCGAAATCTTGTTGCAAGCAACCTGAACAAAATTTATTGCCTGAAATACGTAATTAAATTAGATAGTACTGAGCAGTATAACTGACAAATTCTAGCATAGACGTGCCTTCATTGTTACTTGAATGAAAAGAAGCATAGTTTTTTAATGCCTTCATACCGATCCTATCAATGCAGTAAATGCTGCAAGCAACAATACATGCTTGATATTCACGAGTTAGATGTGAGCAGTTTTGATTGCTATATCTGTATTTAAGTGCATGATCATTTGGTACACAGTATTGGCTACGGAGAAACTAAAATCTTGTCATAATATCATTTTATAAAAAAATGTTACAAGTACATTGTCATGTTCATCGATTTTTATGTTAAGTCGTATCCAATTTAATAGATTCAATGTGTATATAAATATTAATGAGATTGAACCATATTTAGAGAAAACTCCAAGAGAGGATATCAAATGTAGTAATTGATTTCCACAAGTGCAAAATTACAAGAACATTTTTAACATATTAACCCAAACACATTATGAAGCAACCAAAAATACTCTCCTTTCTGCTTGTCGACTCGAACTATCCATAACTAGGAAGAAAAGGTAGTGTTTGAAATGCCTTTTTTTCTAGGCAAGTTGGAAAAGGAATTCAGGAATTCCATTTTCCCACATTTGGCTTGTTTGATTGCAATTATTTTCTTAGCAAAAATCTTCGCCCCCCCACCCCGTCACGGCGTCACGCGCCCATTTGCTTGGTTTTTAGGGAATTTGATTTCGTATCTTTTTGGTGAGAAATCTGATTCCACCATTTTTTTGACAATAGAAACAAATGTTATAATCAACTGTAAAATTTTTTTTCACTTTAATGGACAATTTTCATATAAAATAAAGTCAAACGAACACTAAACTTTAATTAAAAAAATGATTTTTTAGGAAATAATTTTTTTTTTTCGTTTTTTGGCAATGGAAACAAATTTTATAACCAATTGTGGAAAAAATTATCACTTTAATAGACAATTTTCATGTAAAACAAAGCCAAATGGACATGAAATTTTAAAATTTTTCGGGTGGAAAATTATACCAATCAAACACACTAAATTAACAATTCCCTACAAAATAATTTCCAGGCAATTACTTTCCATGAAATTCATTTTCCTTCCACCTTTGCAATCAAACGGACTCTAAGTGAAGGTCTAAACTGACTACCAACTAAAGAATCGACAAGTGAGAGACAGTGAGATGAAATATATTTGGTTGTAGGGTCCCTTATTTTGAGCTCAAAGACCATCCATCTTTTGAGCTCTTTTAGAAAATCTCCTTTTGGGTTGGGGATTTTTTAAGTTGGAACAATGGTATCTAGCATCAGTCATCAATTTAGGTGACAGTCAACAAATAATACCCTATTAAATCGATTATAAATCTTGATATTTAATTGAATCAATGATTTAATATAAAAAATATTGTTACCTAGATTGATTTTAATAGTACTGGTACTAAATAATATCACTCTTATAAGTTCGTCGGTAGATGGTCAATATTTTAGCTCTTTTTTTTCCTACTATTTTTATCAAAATTGTTGCCTAGTCCATGCTACCATGATATCTTGAGACATTGCACGTTAGAATGCTGGATTATATATGACGAGAAATGGGAGGGAAACATTTTTTTTTCTTGTACAATCATATATATGGAATGTAGTAGCGGTGGACAAAGTGTTTATAAATGATTTAAATTATAAATATATAAAAATAAATAAGCATATAAAATTTGTGGATTCCTCGAAATGTGCCGATAAAAATGACTTGAGCGTTTATATACATGAGCCAAACATGGACATAGTTTATCTTCTCTTTAATATCGATGTGGGCTACTTAGTCCAAACTGTCAAAGCAAATCATCGTGATTTCGATTTTGAGATAATATAAATTCTGTTGGATTATGTAGGACTAAACAAAATATAAGAAGAGAAACATGCGATCGCGTAATCCAGTTAAAATGTACTCAACATGTCCTTAAAATTTAAAGGCTTAAACATATACTTCTCTCTTTAACTAAAATATTAATCATCATTATACTCATTACATATTATTACAAAATTGCACTCACAATGACCTTAAAATTGGGTTCAGAAGGATTGTTGGGATTGATTAAGAAACATTGACAATTTGAGCAGTGAAATATAAAAAAAGAGACAATGGCAGACAACAGATTTTTGTCTATATCTTTCTTGTGATATTCAAATAAATGAATAATCTGTTTGGTGGCTCACAAAAATTGTTATATCGAGAAAGAATTAGGAAAGCATTTTTCTCTATTGCATTCTAAGCTAGTTGATTAGAAATCGAACTATCTATCTGGTCGGATGACACCACTTCTTCTTTTTGTGTGACGGTGTCCGTTTGATTCGATACTATCTTCCCACTCCATTAAGAAAGAGTCTCGACTAACTCAGTATTGACTTATTATATACAAGTTTTGGCTTTCTCAACGGATGTAGCCTGCCTTCCTAGTAATGATTAATCTTTGTATTATTCCTCTAATATGTGTGATATGTCACATGATTAATCTGCATTCCATGCAAATAAATTGTTAACATTTTATGGTATTTTCGTGTCTTCTTCATAATTTTCCAAAAGGAGCAGTTGAGAATTTTCTTTAATCCAAATGAGTATTAAGATACAGCAACTGGCCTGTAAAAAAAATTAAAAAAAAATTATTTTAAAACTTACCTTTTTTTTTTTCTTGTAATTAATATTTATAAGCTGATTCGAACGTGCAAACTTTTGAAACTTATTAAAACACAAAATACAAATTAACTCTTATTTTAGTATAATGCTGCTATTAAATGAATGTGTAGTCATACTAAAATATATCGATAGATAATACTAATTAAGGATAAATTTTGAAAAAAATGATGACAAAGGTGATCAAGACAAGTCTTACGTTATGTTCGTAAGAATGTGATTCACTTGAATATTTTAGAAGAGAAAAGCACATCACAACTAAATGCTTTGATGCACCGATGTAGTTGCTAAATAAACATGTTAGAAGAGAGTGTAAATCAAACTAAGGGCTAGTTTGATGTAAATTTTTTTGATAATAAATTTTGTGAAAAATAATTTTGTTTAGAATGTGTAGTTAAACAGTAAAGAAAAATTATGGATTTGCGTGCAAAATTATTTCATCTGTAATTGAAAAAGAGTTTTAATGAATTTGTACCAAACATGGGCTACATATTTTTTGATGCAATATTTTAGTTGCTAAAAAAGTTATTTGATTAGAAATCCTTTACCGGACAAACCGACGAAGTAATAAACAAACAAAATACTTCGACGTCATATGGAGCTTTTTACTTGAGTTTGTTCCCAACCAAAAGAATATTTACACTGATTAAATAGTGGAGAACAATCAATCAACATGACCAAATAATCATAGCAAAATGAGGGATTTGCCCATTATTTGCAAAGCGAAAATTAAAAATTATAAGCAACTTATTTTGGGTTAATCTAAATAAATGCCTTTGATATTTTAGTGTCAACTCAGTCAATACATTTCATGCCTGTTATGATAGTGCTTGACTAAAATAGTGTCTCCATCTTATCACTGGGGGGGTAAGAAGTGTGTATAATACCAAACCTGAACTCACAATAGGAAAGTGTAACCCTGTAACATTTTATTCACTGTAAAAGAATGTATTGAAGTGAATTAACCAGGAAAACAAGAAAGCACCACAGCATATAGGGTACTTCTCTAATGTTTCTATCAGATAAATTACACGTCGTCTATGCTGCCAA